ATGCATGCTGACAGGGCAGTAGTCACCATATACATTGAGGGGGGGACACCCCCCCCCCTCCCATGCCCCAATTTTTTTTAAACTGCAAACAAAGTGGCAAATATTATCTTGGAGGACATCATTGCACTTGGTTGACTATTTTCAATTATCTTAGATGTAAATATTGCATGTTTCTTTCAGATAAAATACATTTTTGACTTGTGAATGAGTCGATGGAATTTCTTGCAATAATGAAAAAATGCTGGCAATCATGTCGGCCTGGCACAAACCACATGTTTTGGACAACTGTGAAGTGACAGAATGTCCCAGCATCATGGTTCTTATATTGCCAGATTTCAGAGACTCTCCCCTCTTCATATATGGCAGAATATGTCTACTTCCAACTTGCTATGCTGAGATACATGTAAAAATGTTTTTTTAGTCACACAGATTTGTTTTTTTCATTGATATAAAATTTAATATAAAATACAGGCATATAGAAGGTCATGGAATGAATGGAATTCAATCTGGATTGCCCAGATTGTCCTGGAAAAAAAACAAGATATAGCATGCAGGAAAAATACCCCAAAAAAGGCCTAGGGCCCATAGGGTTAAGACCTGGATACACAGAAAAGGACTCAGTTTCCAATGTGCTTAGGTGAAGGGATACGCTTCAATTTATCAAACAACCAAATCCCCACTAATCACCTACCACAATGTGAAAATGAGCACTGTATCTCTACATGCGTGACACATTTACTGTATCAGGGGAAATTTTCCTCATTTTATTCCTCAGGTTAGGGTCTTCAGTCAGTGTCAATACAGTGTATTGTAACTACGGTCTTAAAGTCAATGTATTTGCTCATTTCTGAAAACATACATAAATGAAAGCTGCAGACAGGTGAGTCCAACACCTGCAGGTTGATGAACAGGATAGAAAGGCAAAGATTTGGTAGTGCCAGACCTGGAAACAACAGATGTCCTGGGACCCGGTGAATAAGTAAATCTTCAGGTCGAAATATATTTATAAATTTCTGTACTACTGTATTTAACTTTGCATTTTGACATCAACACATTTTTAACTCTCACAGCTTTGGTAAGCATGATATTTTTCATGTCTCCCCTGTAACAGTGTCACATTTTACTCTGTCACTACAGAATTTCAAATTAAACTACAATTAGGTTATTATCTAACTTTTACATCCAGATTGTGAGAGCAGCATTATGTAGTAAGCCTCTGGAAACATGGCTTGAAAAAGTAAAATGCATATTATAAAATAAAGGGGATACATAATTGTAAATTAATGTTATTTTAAACAAAATTCCTGCAATTCTATATGACCATCACCTGCACTAGTCTATATTAGTTGCATTAAGGGCATAGAGGACAGCATAACATCTTCTACAGTGAGAATGGGTGAAATCACAGCAAGTCAGTTAAATGCATCCCTGATAATAACAGCAGAGAGCAGCTGGATGAGAGACGGAGCGGTGCGTCGTCATATTTACAAAGAATTCCATCGCAAGTCTGACTGAAACTGAGGCCCATTCGTAAATAAGGGGGACCACAGTGGAGATTACGCGCATGGACAGAAACATTTCCCTTACAGCACAGGAGAGCTGAACAAGTCTGTCTGTGTGTTTGTTAGTTTCTGTTTGACTTTGAACCCAAGCAAACGTGTCAAATTGCCAAACGTTAGAGTGCTTGCTGCAGAGCAAGACGCGCAACTTGTGGCTGTGAGTAGCGTACGCACTGCAGCCTCCACTCCCCACCTTATTACGGCACAGTAAAGCAAGTAAATGATTCTAAATATACCGTGCAGTTATATTAATATTGATCTCAGCAAGGTAAAGTCACTGTTTGTGTTAAAAGAGTCATAAGACGGTTTCAGCTGGCCTTTGTTTCCGAGTCAGTAAGAGAGCGCCACGGAGACACGCACACTCGCACACACACACACATACACACATTATACCTGTGGTAAAATCACACATTGTCTTGTGAGCAACTCCTTAAGGGCAGTTCGCCATTACCACACTCTACACACCTACACGTGTTGGCACAGCTATTCTGTTAGAGCATACAGTGTGTTTGATCCCGCCGGACGCCATCTTGTGCGTACTTTAAAGGTGCACATGTGGCCAGCTGTTTTATGACCCATTGTCTTGCTCTAGTATCCCGCCTCAGTACTTCTTCCCTCAAATTTCCCGCCTTACTCTTATCAGTACCTGCCGTGACGTGGTGTGTCCCTCAAGAGGCCACGCCTGCCATTCTCTTTCTCTCTACCTCTCTCCCTTCACACACACACACACACACACACACATATGCACATATGCACACACACACACAGAGACCCACTTACATGCTTTGATTTGTTGCTTCTAGTAAGTCAATTTAGTGTAGTATGTTTAGTGAACAGCTTGTGATTGTTGGATCATAATTGTTTCATAAACATTTGTGACTTTACTATAGCAGTCCTCTGTGGTGATTTGTGCATTGTTTTTGTATCAGTAGCTGGTTGTGATGGTCAGTGCTCGGGTTCACGCCTTCTAATTATTTGATTGTTAATATTCACCTATATTAGCAAACTGAGACGAGGATTTTTTCCCTTTTTGTCTAAAAACCGGTTGGTCATTGATCCCTGTATCCAGGGTGGTGCCCCGGAATTATTAATACATATTAATAATTTAATTTCTTAACTAATTACCATTGGTAATTAATAATCAATAACCAACTTGCCTTTAGCAAATCCCTACATTTTTATGTTGCAGTTGTTACTACTGTTAAAAAATGGGTAGTGCAGGTAGAATTTACCCATTATAATATATTTTAATTGCTGACTAATACATTAAGGTAAGTTTTAAACAATTTGCATGGATTGTATTTACACCCATTTACACCACATTTACAATGCAGGAGTGTTTCATGCATAACATTGCAATGTCACAGTGAAGCTGACGTTTGACCTTTTTGGATATTATTAAATGTCCTCACTTCATTATTTTATCCTACTAGAAGTCAGTGTGAAGTTTTCTCATAATTAGCATATGAATTCTTGAGTTATGGCCTAAAATATGTTTTTGAGGTCATACTAACCCTGACCTTTGACCTTTGACTATCAGTTCTGATCAGTTCATTCTTGAGTCCAAGTGGATGTTTGTATCAAATTTGAGGATATTCCAGCAAGGCCTTCTTGAGATTCAAAAAATGAGACAGATGCAAGTTGTTTGTGCCAAATTTGAAGAAATTCCCTCCAGGTGATCTCGACATATTCTAACTAACTACATATGTATATATGTATACATATACAT